CCAAAAATTCTTTGAGGGCAAAGCTCTCAAAGAATGCTCTCCGCAGGAGCATTGGCTTCTTCACATGAAGAAGGAAAATTTTTTTAGCAATGTTATATATTAATATATAAATATTTTTTTTAATTTGTATCACCATTAAAAGGTCACGTGATACAAAAATTTTATTGCATTTTTGAACATAACTTACAAATTCTGAGTTTTGATGATTTTCCCAAAATTGGCCATGAGGCGCAGCAAGTTGTGGGACTAGGTGACTTGCACCATATATTAATAGTAATCTAAGCCATGTGTAGTTAATCCAAGTTTAGAGTCCCTGCATATAGTCGCACAAAAATACACACGATGTGGATGTTCTATGAACTTCGAATAATAGCCAAATTAGCTCGATGACACATGAAAACACAAAAAGTAATGATTACGGGTGTATGTATATATATATCAGCCAAAGAATTTGAATGTCATATTAGCTTGCTAGTTCCACTAATATTAATATTGTCTATGTTCTACGAGATTATACCGCTAAATTATTTTCTCATAATATAAAGCTTTTCGATAAGAAAAAATACAAATGACACAAAAAGGATATGAATGAGAAGATTTTATTGTTCTTTATCAGTAAATAATACTACATAGAATCTGGCTCATTAAAATTCATGTGTTATGGGAGTTGAGATCTCCGCCGTCTTTGAGATCGTCTCATTTTTCATTCTATAAAAGCAATCGGCAGATTGAAAAGGTTTAATTTTCCCATGAATGATGAAGTTAGGCAAAGTCAAGAGGTCTATGACTCATATATTCAGTGCTTAGCACTTGTGATTCTAATAGAATTGTTTTATGGGGCAAAGATCTGAGAAATGGTCAGGATAACGTAATTACTAATCATGTATTTTTTTCTTCTACCAGGTTCTCAGATTTAGCGAATGAAATAATATAAATAAACTAGATTTGCGAGGCATCATTTCTCATCTTCCCGCAATTTTTATAAGGTGATGTGTGTTCATTATTATGCATTGTTCATAACAAAGCCCTATCTATGAAAGAGAAATTTTATTCACCATGGGTTTTCGTATTTAAGAAACGTGAAAAATGACCAACGATATTACTCTCAATTGTCTAGCTATTCCTAACAGTCCACGTAATCAACTTTCAATCAATAGTGTTGTACTCACAATTACGACTTTCAGAGATGCAACGGTTGATGATCTCCAAACCGCAATTCAGAATCAATTTGTCGCATCCATTTAATAATATTCTTCTTGATATTCGTCAAATTTATCATCCTGTAAGTATAGATGAAAGATGTGTGCGGTCACCAGCTCTAATCTCTAGTTTTTTTCGATGAGGATCTTCTAGCATACTCCCTATGTGAACCAGAGAATGACTAATTAGATTTTTTATTTTTTTTATTTGTATATTGTCGTCTCGGCAACATTTTTTATTTCATAAAATAAAATAAGATTCTATAAATAACCATTTGTCTTGATCAAAATTATGTTCGATTCATGTTTTTTATCCGAGATTAATTCGGAAAAATTGAAGTCATTCATTCACATAGATATATCAAATATTGTCTCGCAAATCTAGAAAATTTACTGATAATCCTAAGCAACATTTACAATTTCAGAATCGGGAGAAGTATATATATGTCACGGAAGGTGGAAATATAACTATTGTAAATAAGAACACGCAAGTCGTGAAGACGGTATTTGATTATGGAGAGGTATCTAAAGGCTAATAATAATTTCGATTCGAATATTCTCAGCAAAGCTGGTAAGGATAATATATATAACAAATAATTTATATGTACTTTACTTTTTTTAATAAAATAATTAATATTGAATTATATTCATATGGTACTCTAAATTTTAATCTAAAAATAAAATAACCTGCCTGGCTGGTATTATCAATAAAATTTCCCTTTATTATATATAAACCTGAGAATCGTTTTTTTTATTTGAATTCATCTTGTATGATTATTTTCCATACTCAAGTAGTAGATCCTTCAAAGACTTTGGAATTTTTAACACATCCCGAACTATATTAGGTCAAGATTTTTCATAATTGAAATTTGTTTCATGATTTCTTCCTGTGACTAAAGATCAACAAATTATGATTGCATAATTTTACTTACATGAAAAATTGCCATCAGATAAAGAATTCCCTTGTACTTCGATATGGCATCAAGTGAAAATGGTAACAATGTAGAATATAGTTCAGGCGTCAGAAAAGTGCCATCATTTAACATGTTGAGCGAGTATAGTGTCATACGATATTCTAATATTCAATTAAAATATTAAAATACAAAACCAATACTTAAATGTCTCTTTTTAAATAAATATAAAATATTTACCGATCACTTGTAAACTAAAAACTTTAATTTCAGTTGCATTTTCTACTGGAACTCGGAGGTGATCAAGCAGGATCGCAATTAGGTTTAAAATATCAGTATGCAGAGATTTTTTTGTATCGTTAACAGCATTATCATCCGATGGTGGTGATGGCGTGTCTGATACTTCTACATGGAAAATTTCCTTATTATCGAATAACCTGACACCTTTCAGGATTGTTGGAATAATCAAGTAATTATTATTGGATAATAGGTTTAAATTGTAAATATACGTTATTATTTACCCCTTACATCGACCTTAACAATACCAGAGTTTGTAGGCGACTTTGTTAATTTTGACGCCAGCGAGTGTGATTCGATCCAGTCAAAATAAATGTTTCCAAACGTGACTTTGTAAAATTTGAATAAAGAAGAAATGTTTTGAATAATATACTTTCGTTCTCCGATTTTCCTTGACAAGTTCGGAAATATATCGACCATATTATAACTAAAATCAGGAACAAGGTTAAGCTTCAAATTATCTAAAGGATAACAATAAATGGGGAAAAAACTTACAAGTCCATTAATATTTTTTCGCAATATAGGCGAAACCTGTTGTCTAAATCACCTTCAATTTTTTAGACTTGAAATTATCTCCAGAGTTCTATAACATGATTACAAAGATGCTTAAACATTTATTGGCTTCCAATCTAACATTAATTAATTAATATTGTGAATACACACTTTCAAAACATTATCCATATAAATATTTAATGATTCCGTCCACACAGATGGTTTTTGAACCATAACTTGGTTATATTTTAACGATTGCTTCATTGCACTAAGATACTGAACGACCTTTTTATCATTCGTCTTTCGCTTGTTTGGAGTAAAAGAAAGTGAATATTTATCATCATCTCGAGGTTTAGGAGGTGGTGTCTTGAACTCATATTCATCATTTCGAGGGTTAGAAGGTGGTGACTTGAACCCATCTTCATCGGTTTTCTGAGAAATCATCTGGTTATACGCTTGTATATTCAGTTTTGATTTGTAGAGGTCTTCTTTCACATTCACAAGATTTTTTGTTGAATCCACGAGAATTTTTGTCACGTTCATCCTTGCCTATCAAATGGGATAGTATTTATATGAGTATATATATAAAAACAAAACAAAAATGACAACCAACGTACATGTGTATCCAACCTTTCAAAAAATGAGGTAACTTCTTCACGTTGAAATGAACGCTCTACATTCTCAGCTTTTGACCTTGCTTTTTTGAGCCTTGTCTCACATGAGCTTATCGAACGCAACTGATTCTTGTACGCATCAATGATTTCATCATGGTCTTCTGAAATAAAATTTGCACATACCTTTGCCAAATATTCGAGGCAATCGAAATGAGACTATTTATCGATATTCTCTCTATTGAAATAAGAAGCGATCGCACTTGATATGCTCATCTATAGTAATAAAAAAAGCTATTAGAATAATTTAATTACTAAAAAAATATGATAATATAAATATAAGAAAACGCAAAAATGGCATTGACAAAATAAAGTTCTGGAAAAGAGTATGTCACACGAATCTATCTAGGAGGATCACAATATAAATTGCAATGGGTCTTAGTAGGCGTGCAAGGCCCTCTTTCCAAACATCGGCTGCAGGGGTCCATATGAATGGGTGGGTTTGTACAGACGTAGGAACCCATAATGTCCAATATACTGGAAAAGAGTATGTCAAACGAATCTATCTAAGAGGGTTAAAGCATAAGTTTTAACGGGTCCTAGTAGGCGTTCAAGGCCCTCTTTCCAAACATCGGCTGCAGGGGTCCATGTAAATGGGCGGGTCCATACAGGCGTAGGTATATTGTGTGATGCCAAGAAATATAACCAGATAGAAATAGAAATACTAAACTTGCGTGTCTTCAGCACAATCAATTTCACACCAAATCTTTCTCCGCTTTCTAAGAGGCTCTGCATAATAGAAATAGTTGTCAACGAGGAAACATCAATAAAACAACGAATGAAAAAAGCAGTACAGGTTTGAAAGGTATTCACCATCTTTGAGTTCCTTTGCGAAATCTACAATTGCCAAGGCCGATCCGCTTTGAATTCCCCAATTTTCCAGCTTGCTTTCAGTCAATGTAATAAAGGCACGACCAGTGACCTTTTTTTGTAATATTATATTCAATTCATCCTTTTCAAGGTGTAAATCCTTTTGGCTTCGTAAAATTCCACAAGTTTTTCAACATTTAACTTTTTGATGTTGGAAAATCATCAGTATTAGTACGGTGCAGATCATCTATAATCATTAATTGTTTATAGTAACAATTGGTCAACTTCAAAATACTAAAACAAAAAAAAATTATATCATTTTAAAAAATTTAACCGATAAGTTTTATTGTTCATGACTCAAGTTTCAAAACTTATCGGCTGGTTTTTTCTTAAACTGAAAATTGGCAGAGCCTTGGCATTTTGAAAATTCCGAATTTTGTTATACATTTAAGAAATTGATACTAAGTAAATTTCGTGTAACAACTTTTTTTTTATTAATATTAATAAAAGTTCTTTATGTTTACAACAAAAAAGTTTAACGAGGATATTACATTAAAAGAAAATCATTATCAAGTTTGGTCATAAATTATTGTTGCATAAATTTGGATTTATCTACATATAATTTGGCACGTGATTCCCTCTACCTTTAAAAGTCAATTTAATGCTATTTCTTGTTAAGAAATCCTTATCTTCTTCCAACAAACAATTAATTATTATTTTGGTACTTTTTTCAGAATAAAATAGATTTTCCATAAAATTGGAATATTAATATTGTGTTATTGTTTATTGACAAGAATGCAAGAATATAATGTTTTATAATCATAATCATTGTATTTAAATATTTCAGTTAAAAGTTCAAGTGGTAAAGTTGTTGTTAATGTAAAGAAAAAATTTTAATTTATTCCATTAATTTACAAAAATCATTAAACCTTATTGTAAATGGTTTAGGTCCACTCCAATTCTTTGTTAGATTATCAAAAGACTTGACATTGATAGTAGAAAACATACAAGGAAGTGTTATTGACTTTAATTTTTTTGGTAATGTTTGATTTAGTACTGAGAGTATTTTATCACTATCTAATGTATCCATAAAAACAAAACTGAATTTAATACTTTCTAATTTAATACAATTATTGAATACTTTTGTTAACTCCTGATTTACTTCATCATTATATAATATTGATAATTCTACTAGATTGTTGCACCATTGTGCAATTGATTGAAAGAGCTTTCCCAAAAATTCAATATCATTTTGAGTACCATTAATGTTCAGATATTTAATAGTTTTTCCATTGATGCTAATAAAGTCTGACAGGGCTGATAGAAATGTTTGCCTACGAATTTTTAACATCACAGATTCAATGTTTGGAAATGAAATATTTTTCAACCATTTTATTCTGTCACCATAATGAGGATCGGCAGAAAATAATGTTAATTTTAAAGTCTTCAAATTCTTAAGTGCTGGTAATAATATATGATCTAAATTGTTTAATCCATTACTTGAATAATAAATTATTGATTGAGAATGTGTAAGAATTGCTTTTTTTAAATTATCTGATAAATTAAATTTTAAACCAAAATCAATGGTTAATTGCTTTATTTGATCTTGTGCTTTGATTAGTTGAGCCAGACTATCTTCAAATTTATTGTTGTATCTACAATGTATAGTTAATGATTGAATATGTTTGCAAATATTTGCTAACTTATCAATTAATTCATTACTAGCAAGATCATTACCATAACAAATTAATTCATTAAGATTCCAAAATTTATTATCAAATTTAAAATTGTTTACTGGATAAGAAGTTGTATTGCAATAAATAATGCAAATTTTTCTAATAACTGCTGAATCTAAAATAAAATTTGCTAGTCTAATGTCTAATTTGGAATTGTTTTTCAACAAGTCAATATAACTATAATTGAAATAAAATATAGTACAAAATTTAGCATAATTATATAATGGTGGCTTATTCAATAGCTTAAAAGTCAATTCAATGCTATTTCTTGTTAAGAAATCCTTATCTTCTTCTGACAAACAATTAATTATTATTTTGAGACTGTTTTTAGAATAAAATGGATTTTTCCATAAAATTGGAATATTGAAATTGTGCCATTGTTTATTGACAAGAATGCAAGAATATAATGTTTTATAATCAGCATCGTTGTATTTAAATATTTCAGTTAAAAGTTCAAGTGGTAAAGTCATTGTTAATGTAAAGAAAAAATTTTAATTTTTGTTTGTCGCACAACAAAATTATTTTTTTTCCCAAACCAATCAGAATCAAATAATAAAAATTTACAATAATAATTTAGTTTAGAAATTTTTTTATTAATCCATTAATTTTTGAACTTTATCGTTTAGGTCTACTCCAATTCTTTGTTAGATTATCAAAAGAATTGACATTGATAGTAGAAAAATTATAAGGAAGCATTATTGACTTTAATTTTTTTGGTAATGTTTGATTTAGTACGTAGTAGTGTAAGTATTTTATCACCATCTAATGTACCCATGTAATACTTTCTAATTTAATACTATTATTGAATATTTTTGTTAACTTCCGGTTTACTTCATCATTATGAAATATTGATAAGTCTAGTATTTTTTTACACCATTGTGTAATTAATTGAAATAGCTTTCCTAAAAATTCAATATCATTTTGAGTACTGTAAACATTCAGATATTTAAGAGTTTTTCCATTGATACTAATAAAATCGTCTTGTAACTTACCTCAATTTAGGGTTTCATTCGTAATACAGTCAATCTTTAATTCGAATTAAAAAATTTATTCTTTTATTTGTTTTATTCATTTTATCCGGTTTATTCAAATTGCTAGTTTGTTTATTCATTTTATAAAATTTAGGTCTTATTTCTTTAACAAGATAATATAAACAATAATTATATTTATAATCTATGTTACTACTATAATTGCTAGAGAAAAGTCTGATAGAAATGGTTAGTTATGAATGCATAACCACCAGATTCAATATTTGGCTGTGAAACATTTTTCAACCATTTTACTCTGTCACCATAATGAGCAGATTTAAATCTTAATTTTAAAGTCTTCAAATTTTTAAGTGCTGGTAGTAATATCTGATCTATATTGTTTGATTCATTACTTGAATAATAAATTATTGATTGATAATTACTATAAGTACGTAATACGTAATTATCGTAATTAATTACCATTTTCCTCTTTTAAAAAACATAATTACGAAATTAATTACGGATGACGAAACTAATTACGAATAACAACGGGAAATATCATAATAATAATATAATACAAGCCATTCCCGTTATAACAACACTCTCCGTACAAGCAAAAAAAATGTCAGTATGACGAGAATGTCATTATAACGGGAGTTCATATAGAAGTCATATGAGAATCATTATCATGTGA